CTTTACATGATGTTAGTCTCTCATTTTTATTGACAATATTTTTTAGGAAAATGTGTACATATAATACATACGTACATGTATATATACAGGAGCTAGTTAAAAGAATGCTGAAAATATTTGGAAATGATGAACAAGAGTTCCATACAGTGCAGAATACAACAAAGAAGGAAAGGTTTTGGTCGAATTTTCTGATCACCTTCTTCTATCTTTAACAATGATGTTAAGTCTCTCAATTTTTATTGACAATATTTTTTAGGAAAATGTGTACATATAATACATACGTACATGTATATATACAGGAGCTAGTTAAAAGAATGCTGAAAATATTTGGAAATGATGAACAAGAGTTCCATACAGTGCCGAATACAACAAAGAAGGGAAGGTTTTGGTCGAATTTTCTGATCACCTTCTTCTATCTTTAACAATGATGTCAAGTCTCTCATTCTTTGCAAATGTGTGTATTCACTTGTGTGTGTGTGTGTATATACATATACTGATTCATTACTTCTTAGTTTATAACTAATTAAATTGATAATATTTACGTAGTAGTTATTTATTAATACAAATGGTAAAAAAAAAAAAAAGGTTTTGTGAGCTTCTACTAGAAATAGCAAAAGAGATTCTTGTAGAAAAATAGAATAAGAAGAAAAAGAACAACAAATAAAATCTCAATGAAAACCACAATAAAAGATCTGCCAAACTTACTCAAAACATTAGTTATAGAATAAGGTATATTATGGGTCAACCAAAATTAAATATTATCACATTTATATTTTTAAATTTAAAATTAAATTCTCATTTAAAGTTAACTACAAAAAATATGTAATAAATAATTTTTAAATATAAAAATAAAATTAATTTGATAATGTTTATAATAATTATTTACTTAAAATTTCTAAATACAAAACTAGAATTTAATTTTTAGTGAACTAATAATAAATCTATATGAATTTACATAATATAATAACTAATATATTTGAAGCCTAAATATTTTAGTCTCACATCCCTCAAACTCCACCTTTCATATTATTAAACTCCAGCATATTTATTATATCTCCTTAATTTACTAGAGAGCTCACCACAATGGTGTACATATATGTGCATACCAAATCTGAGTTGGTTATGCTGGCGGAAGATCCTTCTTTTCTTTCTGCAAATATATATTTTTTTGTTATAACATATTTTAGGTGAACATATATAAATGAGATGCATACATAGACGTAGATATAAGAACAAGTTGATACATACTAGATGTCTGCTTCTGTTAGTCACCATGTTATCTCATTTTTTCCGTAATGATGCCATTTGAAAAGTTGAAGATGAAGAAAATAAATGGACAAGCAAAAGATTAGAAAAGGAAGATATCTATTGGAGACAGGTGAGCATCAGTTTTGTGCAGCATTCATTTTGCATCATTAGAGCAAAATAAGCTTTCCCTAATGTGTTAATATACAAAGGCAGCTAACCCAATCAAATAATTGCAACATTACAAAATCTTCTAAACATGGTAATG